AATAATAGTATTTAACTGATAGATCAAAACAAAATCTAGTTATAAAACAGACTGGATTTCAAAGGAATGTTTTAAGTATTTTCAGCAGCCAGAGGGAAAAAGTAGTTATTTTAACTGCCTCTATGCAAACATAATGACAAAAAAGGTATTCTGCCAGGTGAAAAGGTTCTGGAATTCGTGACAGGGGATTAAGGATTGTTTAATTGTCCCATGATAAAAACAATTTATAACAAATGACATGAAAATGCAAGTGGTGACGTCATAGATATTTTAAATCATATATCAGAAATATTACTGAATTTTGTTTGTTTTTTAAGTTTATGGCACTGGGTGTGTATGGGGTGGGGGGGTTACTGTTAAGCCTGGAAATACTTCTTATGATCATATAACTAGTTAATGGCAGAGCCCTGTATCACTTTAGTTTCTTTGAGATAGCCAGTATTAATAACATTTATTGAGGGGTAAGTATTGGGATAAGGGCTTTAAATGCATCTGTTAACTCTTCCAACAATTTCATATATACTGTAGATTTAAAATCTCTTGCCTATGACAGAACCAAATGGAAAACAGTTGTCTCGTGAGGCCATGATCTTAAACCTTATACTTTTTGTTCAGCATCTTTTTTTTTAGCTTAAGAAATTTATTCAATCTCAAAAGAGTCTTCTCTAACTCCCTTTCTTTTTAAATTCACAGCTTTATTGATATATCGTTCACATCCATATTTTATGCATATAAAATCATTCTTCTTTTCTTGGTTTCTTAACTTCACTTTGGCACTCGTTCCCTGGCTTCTGAATTCAATTTTTCCACATACAGACCAAATTTAAAAGAGAGAACTTTTCAACTGTGTGCACTTCTTTCAAAACATCAGCCCATAAAAAATACTAACTTTGTTCAAAAGAATTTTTTCTGCCTTTAACTTACCTGCACTGTTTTGAATACTCAGAGACAAGATTTCTTCACGTACTTTATGTATCACAAAGCATATTAAAAGGTATCATTTCAGAAAAGAGTAAAAAGTAATAGAGAGCATTGTATGAAATCAGTTCTTTTATTGTTTCAAAAGAGATTTAATGAATAATCTTTATTTCAATTATCCTTGCTGATGTGTCCTTTTCTCTGAGATTTTCTCTTTCAACCCTTAAAATGTATCCAAGACTTTCTAGGAGTGTTTTCTCAGTTCAGTGAATCTTCACTTACGGTTTCTAGATCTTAAAAGTGTGCACTACTAGTCTGTTATGAACTTTGATAAATGTTGATATTTGTAGAAGAGCTTCAGGCCTTTTAGTATATGTGCTGCCGAAGCGAGCACAGCTTCAGGCCTTTTGTTCATAGGTTTGCTGAGAGTCATGCTCTCAAGAAAACGATCGGTAACAACAACTAGTCTTTTAGGTGTTTTTTTTTATGTATATGCCCTGTTCTCTATTCAAGCAACACTGCTGTATCACTGACTAAATTGTATTAACTTTGTTTCTTTTTCTTTCTTTTAAGTTGTTCTTCCTAACCTAAAATCAGAAGATACACCATGCCTTCTATCTATAGATCTGTTTCATGTTTTGGTAAGTTTACAGCAAAAAAGTATTTTAACTCTCACCTTTGTTGTTTGTGTGTTTTCTTCAGATCTCTTCAATGTTATAAATTATGCTTCAAGCTATATAGTTTGATACTGTGTCCATTGTGTTTAGCTCTTTTAGTAAGTATAGTATAAATTTGACACGTGGAAGGAGGAGTGGCATCCACTTCCATAATAGCTTGCTTCTGGAAACCCTATGAACCTGGAGAGAGGATGAAAGGCACCCAAGCGTCGAGGATTCTCCTTCATAGGGTCGCTATGAGTCGCCTGCGACTCGACGGCACTTAACAACAACAAGTATAAATTTGTTTGCTCTTCTAGTACGTATAGATTTGACATAGTCTATCAAAATCATATGAAAATTATTTTTAATCATGATCATATGAATATGAAAATACATTCACTTTTGAATAGGTGTTGTCCTAATTAGTGTCTTGTTACAAAAGCCACTATATTATTGGGGGGGTTTAATATACTATCAAGTCTGAACTGACTCAAAGCTTTTTATATTTAGTTATGAAATTAATTCATGTTGGTCTTTTACTGTTTCCATGTTGATGTGCATTTTCCTCCATAGGTAGGTGCTGTGTTAGCATTCCCATCTTTGTATTGGGATGAGACTGTTGATCTGCAGCCTTCGTCAGCCAGTTCTTCCTATAACCACCTTTATCTCTTCCATTTGATCACCATGGCACACATACTTCAGATACTTCTTACCATAGACACAGGTAAACTTTCCATCTGAGTGTTACTATAGATAATGTTCCCTATACTTTCTTGACAGAATTAATTAAGGTTGTGGTTAATGATCATTTACATGTCTAAGCTCTGTATTATATCTTTGTTAAATGACTATTCATTTCTCTATGAATGCTGTTTAAATAAGCAATGGTAGAATAGATTGTTACTTTTCTTAAAAAGCAATAGAAGTGTAACCCAAAAGCTAATTTAAATATAATTTTCTTGCAGGATAACATAATAGGGATGAGGATTTAAGCAGTGACTCTTCTTAATGCTGTCTGTTGTATAGCTTTGACTTGAGAATCTTATAAACACTTTATATAACTTAAAATAATAAATCAGAGGAAATAACTTTAAAATCTTGCAAATAAAAAGTGAACATAGTTATATCAAGTATACCAAGAAAATAATTATTTCAAGTAACTTTAAAACAGAATTTCAACTAGGCACTCTTAGAGAAATATTTCCTAACAAAAGGACGATGGAAAAATCCATACAATTTTGTTTGTATTACTGGTACAAATGATAAATTATGTTGTTATTTTGGAATTATTTTAGATAGTTTTTAAGGTTTTGGATGATTAACCAATTAAGTAATTAGGTTAATGTCATTGAGAATCAAGATTTTCAGAATAAGACAAAAGAGTAATAAGAACAAAATAAAAATAATTAAATAAAAATAAAAACCCTGTTGTATTTTATTTGAATGTATACATTTGACAAAACTCAGCAATGGGATACTTATCATTTTTACATTTTATTGAGTGTAAAATTTACCTTTTAAGAGACAGAATTCTAAATAATACTGAACCGAGACGCTGGGCTATTGTGGCATCAGGATTGGTGGAAGAATCATCAATAACCTGCGTTATGCAGATGACACAACCCTGCTTGCTGAAACTGAGGAGGACCTGAGGCGCTTGCTGCAGAAGATCAAGGACTACAGCCTCCTATATGGACTGAAGCTAAATGTCAAGAAAACAAAGATTCTAACCACTGGGCTAATTGGCAACATCAGCATGGATGGTGAAGAGATTGAGATAGTTAACAGTTTTAATTTACTTGGCTCCACAGTCAACACTCTTGGTAACAGCAGCCAGGAAATCAGGAGATGAATTGCATTGGGAAAGTCGGCTGTGAGGGACCTCTCAAGAGTACTGAAGAGCAACGATGTCAGGCTGGAGACTAAGGTGTGCCTGATCCGGGCTATAGTCTTCGCAGTTATGTGCTATACATCAGAGACTTGGACAGTGAATAGGGCTGATAGAAAGAGGATTGATGCCTTTGAGCTGTGGTGCTGGAGAGGAGTGTTGAATATTCCCAGAGTGTTCCCTGGAGTCAAGGATTCTGAAGCTTCGTCTGACATATTTTGGGCATGTTGCAAGGAGAGACTGGTCCTTGGAAAGGGACATCATGTTTGGCAGAGTGGAGGGTAGGCGAAGGAGAGGAAGACCTTTGGTGAGATGGATCGATTCTGTGACTGGAGCGGTGGGAATAAGTGCGTTTGTGATGGCTAGGTTGGCACAGGATAGAACCGCATTTAGAGCTCTTGTACATAGGGTCGCTATGAGTCGCAAGCGACTCAATGGCACACAACAACAACAACTTATAGTTGAATTGGAAATACCAATATGAATTCATAATTTCTTTTTTCTTCTTCCTTCTTCATGTATGTTTTGATTTTTTTGCAAAAATAAAAGAGCTAGCAATATTCATCCAAGTTAGGAGACTCAGGCAATTTTAATTATGGCCTTTCAAACGAGTTAATATATAAACAAAAGCATTTTTTAAAAGAGAACATTATTCAGTAACCATCACTCATAGCATTCTGCAAATATAGGTATTATTATCCCCAAGAACTCTAAAGTTCAGAGAACTTGAATGTCTTACTCAGAACTTCAAAGTAAGTAGTAGAGTTAATAGTTGCCATAAAGTTTAGGATGGTTGTTGTCCTTAAGGATAGGTGAATGGAGGAAAACTACCGCACATTCTGTTCACTTGGTTCTTTATTCAGGCAACCTGCTTGCCTTTCTAGACTGACTTTCCACTCACTTGTTAAGACTGAGACCATCAAAATCACTTTAAAATGAAATATTGCAGGGAGCTCTGGTGGCCTAGTGGCAAAAAAGCTGCACTGTAATCCCAAAGGCATGTGGTTCATATCCACCACATGCTCTGCTGGAGAAGGAGGGACAATTTCCTCCTGTAACAGTCAGATCTGACTCAATGGTACACAAAAGGGAAAAAAAAAGAAATACTGCATAAGACAACGACTGTAAAAATAGAAGACTAACCAAGCGCAATGTGTATAAATGTTCAAAATGAGAAGGAGAAAGCGTGGCAAGAAGGAGACAATAAGGGGAAAGGAAGGAGATTGCTAGGCTAGCAGAGGTTAGGGGGTGGATAGAGTAAAGAAATAGGAGAGATTCAGTGGACACTTGAGAAGACAGGGGAATAATAGGCATATATCAATAGTGATTGATTTTCTAAAATACAATGTATATGAAAGATTGGATGAAATACAGTGTATATGAAAGTATGTATAAAACACAGTGTTCATGCAGGGAAAACAAATTATTATATGCAAACCAATAATAATAGGAAAAAAACAATAAAATGTAAGCACATTTACTTTGTAATAGTTCTTGTCCCGTCAAACCTATGGCAGGTAAATAATTATTAATATTTACCTGGTTAGGCAACTTGATGACACATAACAGCAATAACAGCCTGGTTATATTGTTGTTGTTGATTACCATCGAGTCGAGCACAACTCATAGTGACCCTATGAACAAAAGGCCTGAAGCCTTTCTATAACTATCATCATTTATCAAAGTT